GTTAGCCACGTCACCTTCCTCTCACCAAGCCTCCTATGTGCATAAAAATAAAAAGGGAGCCAGATTGGATAATCTCAAATATCCATTTCAGTTTTTCTATTTTCCATCAAAAGGACTGGTTCGTGGGGCACCTGGGTGGCTCAGTCGGTTGGGCACCCAACTTTGGCTCAGGTCATGATCTCACGGTTCATGGGTTCGAGCCCCGCATCGGGGTCTGTGCTGACAGCTAGTTCAGAGCCTGGAGCCTGTTTCAGATTCTGCGTCTCCCTCTCTCTCTGACCCTCCGCTGCTCACGCTGTTTCTCTCTGTCTCTCAGAAATAAATAAAACATTAAAATAAATTTAAAAAAAGGACTGGTTCTTCCTTTTGAAAAACTGAAAGTTTGTTCATTGTTTTTGTGAGCCTTTTAGTTAACAGGACGCAGACACAGACACAGACACACAGACACACACACACACACACACACACACACACACAATGTAGATTAGATTGACAACCCAGAAGTCTCAGCCCTTGCAAAGCAGAGCCTCAAAACAGTCAAGGAGTGACAGTCCCAATCTAGAGGATTCTGGGCTTGAGAGATTCCCTTTGCCCAGGACAAAAGATGGTCTGGTAAAAGAGACTCCCCCTCTCCTCTTCCAACCTTCATGCCTTTCCACCCTTTAGCTGTCAGGGTGACCATAGTATTTCATGACACAGTGGACCATAGTTTATTTAGCATATGGATGAATATTTGAATTACATTTTTGTGCTCTGAGAAAAAATATGCTGTGTGAATGTCTATGTCTTTATATTCCTGTGTGTGCCAGATCTCTAGGGTAGACATAATAAGCTGTGTCTCTCCCAGTGGGTGTTGCTTGGGCAATAACCATTAGTCTCTCCTTTATAACAACAGAGAAGCAACTATCATTTATTAGGGCATTTATATTCCAAACAAATTTGTTCATTCGTTAGCTGACAGTTACTTATCGGATGTGATGTATGTGTTGAACACAATTCTAAGTGCTGGAATTGTAAGCAATAAACAAAATAAAGTTTCTGGCCTCATGAAAGATCCATTTTAGTGGAGAGTCCCAGAAAACAAATAGATATATAACAGATACTAAATTTTTCTTAATGCAAATTGGTATGAGGGAGAAAAATGGATAGTGATGAGGGAAGCTAATTATAGAGGGTTGCCAGATAGGACCTCACTGAGGACTGTGATTTGAGCATTCATTTGAGTGATGTGAATATATCATAGATTTTACACACACACACACACACACACACACACACACACACACACACACACTTATGGGTAGGGAGATTTAAGTATATATTAGACATGTTTTTCTGTAGCAAGTAATGGAATATCCATCTAACAGTGACCTAAACAAGGAACAGTTAATTTTTCTAACATGACAAGAACTCTGGGGAAGTTCTTTTTTCTAACAAGACAAGAGGCTCCTGGGTCTGGTTAAGCAGCTCAGTGACATCAAGGCTGGCAGCTCTGAGTTTTCCTCCGCCTTCTCCGATTGGCCTCAGTGAGGCTTTCACAGGTAGCGTGTCTACATTCCAGGCAGGAATGAGGGAAAAGGAGACACACCTGCTCCATCGGTCCCTTTTATCAGGAAAGAAAGCAGACTGGTCAGATGCCCCTCTGCTGTTGGGATGATCAGTGTCCTCGGGCTGCCCATTGGTGTGAAGAAGACTGAGGCAGCGAGTGTTTAGTTCTTACAATCTCTCTAGTAGAAGAAAGTAAGGAAGAAAGTGGAAGGGAGTGCTGGCTTCGTGCTTACTCTGCCATGAGTTACATCCCCGGTGGCCCAGCTCTGGTAAACCAGGTCTGTCTGGCAGCAGAGTTCTATTTTTCTATCTGTCTAATCCATCTTTGTCTCATTCCTTTGGAATGGTCATTGTCTCTTACAGGATCTAAAGGAGGTGACTAATGTCAGTGACAGCTCCTTCCGAAGCACTAGCAGCAGCACCAATGGTTGCTGTGTGGCTAATGTTTGTACTCCCCCTCTCTGTTCCTTCAAGTATAATTTCCAGGTTTTGAAATTTGTCAGGACCAACTCTTCCTCTGATCAGTCTATTGTCTCGTAAGCATTTGCCTATAATTGATGTGCTGTTTGTTGCAGATCCAGAGACCAAAAAACATGCTTGCAGGTGCAATGTAGATACTGGATTACAGGGAAAGTACATTAATTTATCTTCTGAAGAAATACTGATATATTATTACTTGGGAGTTGTCCAGAGTCACAGAATCCTTCATACGTGTTGAGGGTGCTCCATTTTACAAATTGTTTTTATGTGTGTTGACTCATCTGCTTTGCATTCTTATTACCATTCTTACATGGGTAAAGGGATACCTAGAAAAAACTAAATGATTTCAGGTGTTAAAACACATTTAATATTTCCTAGTCATGTGTTCCTCACTCTTATAACAAATAAACAAACAAAAACACTTCTACTAAAGCAGATTCAATGACCTCCCTTCAAATAGAGGACTGCCTCGAATTCAGTCCTATATAGAAATTCTGAACTTGCCTCGGTTACATATAGAATCATCATTCTTGCAATCTATACATAATCATTTGCTCTACCCTACTCATGAAGCCCTTTAGAGTGAATGATTAGATCATCAAGTATTTAAAAAATACTTTCTGGCATTTTCTAATTGGAGGAAAGAATAATACATGTGAATTGTCAAAGATACAAATGATACAGAAATGTTTACATGACACAGTGACATTTCTCTTTAGTGCTAACTCCAAAATATAACTACCATTACGGATTTGTTTATATCCTTTCAAACGTTTTTCAGTAACTGCTTGCAACAGTTATTATTTTTGTAATTACTATTGTTACCATTATTAATGGAATATAATATTGTGTACAACTTCTGTTGTCTAACACTATAAATGAAAATATATTGTGATCTTTTCCATACAAGTGTTTCTACCTGTACCTCATTATTTTTAACAGTTATGTGGTATTTTTAAGAATGAATTACACTTCTTATAGCCAACCCCCTAATAATGGCCACTTCATCTTTTCCCAAAATGTTTAATATCAGAATAGGCATTCTTGAGCATTGCATGCATCTTTAAGCAGATATTTAGTATTTCCATAGGAATAACACCCAGACATGGTGTAGAAGGTAGGCGCATGGAAGATTTGTATAGATATTACAGGATTACCTTCCACCAGCAGTGCCTGAGTGCCTATTTCCTTACATTCTTACTAGCACTAGGTAGCATGCATTTTTAGTTCTTGTTAATCTTAAAGACAGAACAATTATATATTTATTTTAATTTGCATTAAATTAATTTCAGGAGTCTTTCATATAGTTGTTGGTCACTATTTCTTTTGTTGTCTTTATGCTTTTTGCCCACTTTTCAAGTAGGTTGTTTTATTTTTGGATGAATTGTTTTAGATATTTTAAGTGTTAACCCTACATGGGGCACCTCTGTTGTCAATCTGTTCTTGTCCCTCCTTTGTCTTTTGACTGTTTATTATGGTCTCTTGCCATCCCAATTTAAAAATATTTCTATAGTCAAATGTGTCCTCTTTTTCTTTCTTAGTTTCTGGCCTTATTACAGTGAAAAGTCAGGAACAGTCTGAGTATACAGTATTTTGAGTTGGAAATCTACTTGGCAGGGAGCTTTGAATGTGTGGGGCCTCGTCAGACTTGAGTAATTATCATTATGTGGCTGATATTTACCCACACCCATTTGCAGTGTAGTCCAAACCAGGATTTAATAACCCATAGCATATTTGCACAGACTTTCTCATTTTCTAACCATATAAAATTAGTTCTGAGAAATGAATGACTTATTTCTTTAATATAGTCCCCTTTGAGTCCAGCTATACCCTGAGAAGATTTTTAAGGGAGAGTTCATGGCTCAGTTACCACAGCCCAGGTGTAACTCAACTTTTCTGAAAGTTTCTGGCTCAAGTTTTACCCAGATGTTCTCTCTAATGAATGAAATTGTAGGCGCAGCCCAAACTTGTCAGTGGTGATGGGTTTTGTAAATGATGGGGATTGGAATGAAAATGGAAAGAAATGCCTTGGTATTTGACCATTCAACTAAATCAACAAGTTTCCCACACAATATGGACATAAATGGCACATGGAATGTGTAGAGTATTCTCTGATTATGAGTGTGGTCTTTGAAGTCCTGAAGGCCCAGCCTTGAATTCTGGCTTCTCCACTTAATATTTATGGAGGACAAGTTATTTGACTTCTCAAAGCTTCATTTTCCTTATCCATAAAACAGGGGCCGTATCTGTAATGGCCATCACCTAAAGATCACTTATTTTAGCATTTCTGATGTTTATTTCGCTGTTGACTGTAAAAATCTGGGTGATCCGTTTAAATGTTGGTATGCTCTGGCCTCAGGTGCAGGCACTGTTTAAAAATCATAGCAGATGAAAGTAAGAGAGGTGAATAAAAACTAAGTAAAAGTGCCATTAATTTGGCATTTTATAAGCAAGTTCTCTCTGGTGCTCAATTCATACTGTCTGCTAAAGTAGCCCAACTTCTCATTTTTATTTTATTTTTTACATCTCAATCTTTCGTGACTTAAAACTGATGACATCTGAATATTTCTGAAGCAGTTACTACATATTTATGAAGAACAGTTAATCTGTGCAAAAATAGAGAGAGAGGAATCATAAAATTTTAGAACTGAGTGATTTCAGGCTCACCTACAGTAGAGGAAATTGAGACTCAGTCAAGTTATGTTACTTGCCCAGCATCAAATATGAGTAATAATGATAAAAAGTAACTTATACAAAATTGCAGTGTAACATGGGAGGTCTTGAGTTGGTTCCTCTGTATCCCGTCTAAGGCTGAGGCACAGGGGCTAGGTGACTTTCTCTTCCACACACTGTTTCTGGAGGGTGTCAAGGGCCATCAAGGTGTCCAGGAAAGATGTTCCCACAGGTCACAATACATGGGTTATCCAACAATGTCCAGTGTCCAACACTACTCCACTGGCCAGCCAGCAGTGGTGAGTGATGGTGTGCAGGAAGTAGATATGGCGTTGCCTGCTGGACACAGCCTGGGAGCCCAGCTCCTAGAAGCCTCAGTGAGGTGATGAGCACTCTTCATGGTTAACATAGTAGATGGGATGTGGAAGCCTGCCTGTTCTCAGGTGTGTGGGAGACAGACAGGGTACCCCTGATGGGATGCCCCACAGAGAATGGAGATCTCTGGAGGGAGCCCCTCCCCCTTTGGCATGTGCCTTTGGGTCTGATCCTCCTTTTTAGGACCTCTCTGACTTCTCATCCTCCTAGGAACTCCCATCCCTCCTTTTCGGCCCAGGATGTCAGTTCTAGACCACAGTGGGAAACTTCTATGTTAGTAGATCCTCTCCTAAATCTATGAGATACCATCCATTGTAATCCATGACATATTTAATCCCATATCTAATCCACAAGATACCACCCATTCCCTGGGGCTGGCAGTTGACTCCTCTTCCTGGTCTCTATCCATTTCTGCTGTGTGGTCCCTTCTGGAGGAAATGACTGCAGACGGCCTCAGTGATGAATGAAGAGGGCACAAGAGAAAGAAGAGAATCCTGAGAACAAAAACACTTGTGTGTATTTCAACAGCATCCTCCTGTCCTCATCAACGTTGACATCCTCACCATCACCACAACCACCATCAACCAAGTACACTTAGTGACATCTTACTGTGAAATGGCTAGCCAGTATGATAAATACATTATATCATGCTATTGGAAATTCCCTATAGTGTTGGTCCTGTTATTTTCTCCATTTTGTAAGGGATAAAACTGAGTCTTATAGGGGTTAATAACTTGCCTAACACAGTGGTTCTTGATCAAGGGATATTTTGTGCCTAGGGGAATTTGGCAATGTTGGGAGACATTTTTGATTCTAAGGAATGGGAAGGTACTACAGGCTAAACACTACCATATACATAGCCCTCACAAGAAGGAATTTTCCAGCCCAAAATGTCAGTCATGCCCAGGTTAAGAAACCCTGGCCTAATATGGTACATTAGCAGGTTGAAGAGAGTTTTATTCTGAATGAGTAGAAAATATTGATCAAATCCTTGTGCTATATCCAGATAAGCATGTGTTATATCCTTATTAATCTGTTTATGTGATAAATTCTTTCAGTAGAATTTTAAATGTTAAAACCATCCTTTTGTTCCTGGGATCCATTCTGCTGAGTCCAATATGATGTCATTTATGTGAAAATTTTAAGCATACAAAAAATACGCATATTTTATGGACATTTACATATGTAGTACAGGTATTAACAAACCTGTAGGAGAGAGATACATGCCAATTTTAGAATATGGTCACTTCTGTGAAGGAAAGAAATGGAAATGGAGAGAGTTCTTTAATTGGGTATCACACCATTTTATTTCTTTAAAAATATATCTGAAGCACCATGTAAACATTTGTTGAATCTAGGAGTGTGCCCAGGATGCCTGACACTTTATTTTCTATATTGGATGATTTAAATATTTTATATTTGGAAAAATCAGTAAAAGACAGACCTAGAGCTAAAAAGAGCTAAAAAGAATTTTCAAAAAGTAGAAGTAACATGATCTAAATGGCTAACTAGCAAATCGAAACTAAATGCCAGACCCAGGATTCATAGTTAGATATCAATGTCTCTAGAGCCACCGGCACTAGCATACCATGCTATTCTACAGTGTCAGCCAGTAGTGCAGACTGGCTCATACTGGCTGGCCTGTAGTCTTCCAGGCACTGTTCTCTGTAGCTGATGTGTATTAACTCATTTAATCTGCCCCCAAATCCCACACAAGTACAGACTGTCCCCAATTTGCGATGTTTCAATTTATGGTTTTTCAACCCCATGATGGTGTGAAAGTGATACTAATTCAGTAGATACCATACATCATATTGTGAGTTTTGATCTTTACCAGGCTGGTGATGCACGCTGTATGATCCTCTCTCATGCTGTGGGCCCATGGCTGTGGCCACTCCCAGTTGGCCTCGAGATCACAAGGGTCCACAGCCAATGTGCTTCCAACCATTCTGCACCATGTGACCATTCTGTTTTTCACGTCCAGTACAGTATTCAGTAAATTACATGAGACATTCAACACTTTATTATAACATAAGCTTTGTGTTAGATGCTTTTGCCCGTCTGTGGGCTAATGTAAGTGTTCTGAGCACATTTCAGGAGGGCTAGGCTAAGCCCTGATGTGCAGCAGATTAGGTGTTTTAAATGCATTTTTGACTTAGGATATTTTCAACTTATTCTGGGTTTATTGGGACAGAACCCCATTCTGAGTCCAGAAGGATCTGTACTCTTATTTTCTTCTTGTTGTAGACAAAGACAGTGAGACACATGCAGAGCCCATGCCATTTGGAATATGTGCACTTAGTGTCATATGTTTCTTCTCTTCTCCAGAAGAGAGACCATGCATCAGGATTCACAAGGACTAAGGGACGAGTACTACATGCATTCTATGGGCACCAGCCTCAACAGTGCCTTCTCCTCATCTCATATTTTCATCAAGCACCAAATTTTCCTGAGTCCTCAAAGTGCCCTCCTCTGTCCACCTCTCCCTCCACTCTCCTCATCTCAGTTAGTGTTGTTCTTCATTTGTCTCTTGACAGCTCGCCTTGTCTTCCACACCCAATCAGAGTGTTTAAACTGCAGATTAGATTTCCTAACTCCCCTTCTCAGAGCTTCACTCGGTTCTTCAAGTAGGAAGACAATCTTCAGTGTAAAGATCAAGTATGATCTTAGGATATCAGCCCCTTTCTTGCCCTTCCCTTAGCTTTCCAGCGACTTGACTGAGCACCTTTACACTGCAGGGTCTTGACATGCATTGCCTTGGCATTGCCTCTGACCCCACGCCATCCACATCTCATGCCCTTGGCCAAGTTGTTGATTCCTGCCCGCTCTTTAATGTTCATGACAAGTATTATTTCCTTAGGGACTTTCCTATCTCTTCCAAATCTAGGTAGATCCACTGCTGTATGTCCCCCATAGAACATCATAATTATTTTTTTTAATTTTTTTTAATGTTTTATTTATTTCTAGGAGAGAGAGAGAGAGGCAGCATGAGCAGGGGAGGGTCAGAGAGAGAGGGAGTCACAGACTGAAACAGGCTTCGGGCTCTGAGCTGGCAGTCAGCACAGAGCCCGACGCGGGGCTCGAACCCACGAACCGCGAGATCATGACCTAAGCGAAAGTTGGACGCTTAACCAACTAAGCCACCCAGGCGCCCCCATCATAATTATTTTTTAAAGCTCTCACAAGTTTAAATAAACAACTCACTTTAAAGTTTGTTCAAATATAACCCTGTAACATGAATTCTAAGCCCATTTTTGTTTATTTATTTTTTAATTGCTGTATTCTCAGGACATAGTATATAGTCCCTGGCATGTAATTGGTGTTCAATTACTATATATTGAATAAGAGAAGGAGTAAGTGAGTAAGTGAGTGGAGGAATGCAATTTTCTCTGTTGGTGTCATCACAGGTTTGGGACAGGACTCAGCTCTTCCATCATCTGTGGCCTGAGTTTACCTCTTACCTGTGTCACCGTGCATGGATCTGAGGGATGAAAAGCTATTCTGGAGGGCCCACCAGGAAAGGGGGGTGGGGGCTACGGAGCCAAGTAATGGAGCCCAGTGGGCCAGGAAACCAAGGAGTTAAATGATCAAGGGTTACAGGTGAAGGAGGTTGTCTTCATGGGGGGTGGGAGGGGGAGGCGCCCCACAGAAAGCGGTCAGAGTGCCCACATCTATGAGAAGACCAGAAGGTCATTTGTATTTGGGGGTTCCAGTGGTGATTTCACTTGTCAGTACAACTAGTTCCAGACATTATCATGCATAACAATCACATTGTGCTTGCTAAAAATGCAGGTTCCTGAGCATCTCTAGAAAAAGATTCTGAACCAGAAGGATCAGACCAGATCCCAAATGTCTGCAGTGGAATAGTAAATTAAAGAATTGGGTTGGAGGGGGTTGAGTTTGGAGAAAATGAAAAACAGTCCTAAAATATTTGGCCAATTAGAAGTTTTGAACTAATGAAAACAGAGGTCATGGTGAACATCTTAATGATGTTATGGCAGCTATGTCCATGGAGTCCCTTTGAGCTGGAAGATGGTGCAGTTATCGCACCTATGAAATGTGTTCACCTGTTGTGCATGGTGATTCCTACTTTTAAGTCATCCACGAACAAGATTAATGTTGATCTTGCTCCTTCGTCTAGACTCAGAGCTCACATGGTATCAATAGCACTCCTAGCTTCCTGTCCTGACTCCTTCCTAATTAAGCTCTCAACCGAGATATCGTTAGTCTGCAAACCTGTAAATACAAGCATTTTGTGTTATTTTTATGAAAGTAATCTTCAGGAGCAGAACTGTTTCTTTAGAGACAATATGAGGGGGAAAAGTTGGAGTTAGAAAAACTGGGTTAAAGTAAAAAATGATAGAGCTACCCAGCTGCTTTAAGAAGACAGTGTATTTACAGCAAGAAAATCACTATTTAAAGACCTGGTTAAAAAAACCAGCCTCTCAGATGACCAATTAGACCATAAAGCTGGCCTCTTCCTGATTTCATTAGCATGTAGCACAGGGTGTCTCCTAGGGGACTTGTATTTTCTCAGACAGCCAGTGCTTCACAGCTGGGCTGGAAATGCTGCCACATTATTTTTGAATGCAAGAAACTTGTGATTCCAGACTCTCCCAGGATTTTAACTCTCTTGCCTGAACAGATTGACACAACAACAGATGGTCCACGTTGAATCATTGCAACTACCTTGGATATTAAAGATCAAACTCTTTGGAATAACAACTAGTGCATTAGGCTTTGTAGACGAGTGTCTAGTGTACGTACACCTAGAAAGGGGCGCTGCATTCTGGAGTAGCGCTGCGAACTTCTTACGGAGACACAATGCCCAGCGCATGGCAGTGCTCAATAAATGGGAGTCTCTGCATTACTGTTCCAACAGTCTCCGGGGAGGGTAGCTCAGGCTTTCTAGAAGCGGACCCTGAGGTGGGAAATTAGCATGTGGGACTTCCACTCAAGAGTGCCGTGGGATCATTACCTGTACAAAAGAGGAGAAAGGACTGAGCATTGAAAGAATTGCAAGGAGAAGCTGGGGTGGACTACAGTTTGCAAGAAGCCTTTGCAGATCCCATGGAGAGTGGGAAAGCTGGGATGCTTCACTGCAGTTATCCTTCGTTGGGATGAGGAAGCTGGATCTTAATACCCCTGCCTTGAAGAGTCATTGGGTGTAGGCTGACTCACAGGACATTCTTAGAGAGGGTTTATAGCTGATGGCTATCAGCTAGAGAAATCAGTACTCTTCCTAAAAGGGGATCTGGTAGCACCAATTGCTATATGGTCTATGCTGGTGCTGGGTACTCACTGGGGCTGGCTCAGACGAGAGTGTATATGGTCATAACATGTACTCCTGGTGATCATGACTGACATGGACCTTGCAAGATTCTTATCAACTGCACAGACACCTCTCAAAAGCTACTCAGTGCATGGAGTATAAGTGTAATCACTCTTTTCATAGTTTCTTTTAGCCTGTATTAAAACTTACTCAGATTTGAAAAACCTTAATTATATTTGGTTGGAGGGTGCAGAAATAATTCTCCCAAAGAAACACAGAAACAAAGTTACATCCGCAAAAGGTATCAGTACCACATGTTGGGTACCCCGGGATATAGATGGGCACTGAGCTGAGGAAGAATATTGTCAGCTGCAGGGAGGCAGCTTTTAAGCATGGC